TAGCTCCAGGTAAAGCCCTTGGAGATCCTCGGATGAGAGACCCTGCAGAAGCACCAAGTATTAATTTAACATTATTAAAATAATTGGGTAGTGGCTGGTGAACAGAGGGTTAGTGTTAGCAGGATTTATTCTTAATGGGAGACGAGGAGGAAAGAACATTCCTCATGGTTCAGTGGTAGGACCAGCTTCTTAGTGTTTGTGCTAATGGTTTTGGACAAAGCAGGACACTTGCAATTGTGAGAGAAGCAGCTGGTAATGAAGTAGCAGCTGCTATTAAGACACACAGAGAAGCGCAGTGCCTGCACCACGATCTTATTCAAATAAGTTCAGGAGTGGGAAATGCTCTTTTAGGTGCCTTAAGTGTAATGTGATGCCACTGGGTGGGAGTTACACATCAGGTAATTGCAGCATGAATAGCAAGGGAATGAGGGTGTAGGGCAGGGGAAGTGATCCCTGCTCGCTGACATCCCCAGCATGTTGCAGTTGCAGGGATTTTATTCCAGCAAAACAGTTATTGGCAGCACAAGGTATTTTTTTTTCTTCCTAAACCGTAGTAGACACACCAGATGAGAGCAGAGCAGAGCAGAGTCACAGGAACCTCTCAGAGCCCAAAACACACCTTGACTCTCCACAGAGACTACAGGAATGGTGATTTGGGGTTATTTCATTACCCCTCTCAGGGTCTGAGTGCAGACAGCTGCCTTCCAGGTGACCACTTTTATGAGGGGGCACTTGTGTCTGGAGGTACTTACTTTTGCCTCTATTTACAGTTTGCTGAACTTTTGGGGCTGCAGTGTCCCCTCTGGGCAGTGCCTTCAGCAGCTGGGTGCTTTGTCACATTTGTTTCTGCGTCTCAGCCTTCACCACTCAGGGATTTGGGATTGCTGCTGGAGGGCAGCACTTGGCTCTGCACATGCTGGAACAATTTTCTCTGCTGTCTCACCCCACTCTTGGGGGAGGGCAGAACATTTCTGGCAGCACAGAGGAAGACTGGAAGCTTTATGGCAGGTACCTTTTTGTGCTCCCCTGAATCACAGATTTACAGAATGGTTTGGGTGGGAAGAGACCTTGAAGATCATCTCATTCCAACCCCCTGCCATGGGCAGGGACAACTTCCACTAGACCAGGTTGCTCCAAGCTCTGTCCAGCCCACCCTTGGACACTTCCAGGGATCCTGGGGCAGCCACAGCTTCTCTGGACAACCTGTGCCAGGGCCTGCCCACCCTCACAGGGAAGAATTTCTTGCCAATATGTTTTGTTGCGCAGGGAGAGGAGAGCGTGGAAGTGAGGGAGGGGGTCTGTGGAAGGTGATGTTGAAATGCACCCCTCAGCTGGGTGTGTTCAGCATTCCAGACAGGCCATGTTCCTCCAGGAATCACAGATTCATGGAAAAGCTTAAGATCACCCATTTCCATCCCCTGCCATGGGCAGGGACACCTTCCAATATCCCAGGCTGCTCCAAGCCTCGTCCAACCTGGCCTGGAACACTTCCAGGGATGGGGCATCAACAGCTTCCCTGAGCAACCTCTGCCAGTGCCCCACCACTGTCTGAGTAAAAAATGTCTTCCTAATACCAGCCTAAATCGTCCCTCCTTCAGGGTAATCCACCACAGGGAAAACCCACCACGTTTCACCTCTGAGGAACCTCAGCTGCAGGGGCTGGGCACACACCTTGGGAGAGTGTGGGGTGTCAACCCACAGGATGCTCCTCCTGCTCCAGCTCAGAGAAGGTGTTCACAGAAGAGGAGGTGGGGAGACCATGGGCAGAAGGCTCTGGAGAAGAGCCCTCATCCCTCTCTCCTGCATGGACCAACCTGCAAAACCCACTGGCAGGCAGCTGCATTCCTTTAGTCTTGATTCCTGCAGCAGCTGGGATCAGCTCCCTGGGGGGAATTGAGTTGCTGTGATGTTGACCCCAGAGCCTGAACCCTGATGGTGAACCCAGAGCCAGCTGGGCAGAACTCCCCCATCATCAGGCTCAAGCACAGGCACAGTTGGGTGTTCTGGGGGTTTTTAAATTGAGAAACACAGTTGAAAAAGTCACAGAGTCAAAGTCAGAAGTTGGGAAGTGGCAGAACTGAGGTCGTTGTAGAAGAAAGGAATAATAACCTGTGATCCTCTAATTAAAGTCCAGCTTTCAGTGTGGGAGTGCAGGGAGCAGAATTGGAAGTGCAGAAGCTCCTTTCAGTCTGGCTGTCCCTAATTCCTGAGGCTCTGACACTGCAACCTTAATGTTTTATTAAAACCAGGCTTAATTTGGTTTTTCATAATTTCATTATTATTTGGATTGGCAACACACCCCTATGACAGATATTAAGGCTTCAAGGCACATCAATCAAATATAGGGTGAGTTTTTGGTCTGAAAAGTTACATGGTTTAAATGTGTGTAACCTGTAAACAGCAAGATAAGATGTGGATTATTTTATTTGTGATCAGTGATGGGATTAGGAATACAAACCATATTCCTAGATGATTAATTTACATCCATAGACTTGAATTGAGCCTGGGTATCTGCCCATTAAATTTTAGAAAATCCAGATATTTCTGTTATGCTACAGGTAGAAGAAATAAAAGGGAGGTAACAGGACACCTTGAAGAATTTGGGTGCTTTTGTGTTCACAAGACCAGAAAGGGTTTCCTTCCACACTATTCTCAGGAGAAGAATTCCCACACCCTGCAGAGCTTTCATAGGATTGCTGTGGCTGTTTGTTTTGTGGAAGTGCTTAGAAAAATCTCAGGTCAGCGTTTTGCCACTTGGCTTTCGTGCCACCATAGGGGACTCACGGTTTTGGGAGCAGTTAATCAGATATTGGTCCAACCCTCTGGAGAATGCCTGCTTAAAATTCCTGATCCAGCATGTGGAGGCACTAAAGGAGAGTTAATGGGATGGAGGCTCCTGAGGAACAGAGAGCAGGGGCTGCAGTGCTGCTCTTGCTCTCTCAGACCTGCAGAGCAAACCCAGAGAGTGCTGAGAATGGCAGAGATCTATCTCCCTTTATGACTCCTGCCTCTGGAAATGCACAACTTTCCTCTGCCAGAAAGATGGAGAAATTGGAGTTTGAAATTGGGGTGTTTGTTTCATCTGGTGTCAGCCACTGGAGAGAAGCCAAGCCCTAAAGTTTTTAGGTCACCCCAAGGTTTTTAATGTTAGGGTTACCCATATATTGAGGGTTTTTTTCATGTGTTTCCATGGATCTGCAAATCCCCAGGTAGGTGCAGTCCCTTCTCCAGGGAACAAGGACACTGAGGGGTGATCTTGGAGCTAAAGCTCCAGCAGCCCCCACCAGTTTGTGTGCTCTCCCAACCAAAACTCTGAAGTCTGGGAGCAGGTGAATAATTTAACAGCCACACTTAGTCTTTATAGCTGATTTTAATGGGGGGTAATAGCACTGCTAATAACAAAATCCATTGAAGACACCCTGTGCAAGTCCATAACATTAACTTAATGGCAAAAGGTAATTGGCATGCAGTTGGAGCTGTCCTTTTGGATTAACCCCGTGGATTTCCAGGCAGGCGCCTTCCTTGGAGCAGTGGCCTTGGGCAGCTTCATGTGGAGTGAAATGCAGATGTGGTTCATGTTAAGCAAAGGCAAATCTGGATGGAAACAGGGCAAAAAGCTCCTAGTTCACGTGTCTGGCTTGTGTTTACACCAGAGAGGTGGGAAGAGAGGCAGGGATGGGACTGAAAGCACCAACAGGGAGTGGGTGGTGTGAGCTCTGAGGGCCTGTGCAGCCCAGGTGTGTGCACCCACCACTCTCACTGAACTGCCACTCATTGGGAACACCAGAAGTTTCAGGATTCAACCCTCAGCACTTCTAGTCAGGCATTTTCAAAGCAGACATCAAAAGCTTCTTAGTCTGCAGAGACTACTGAGCAGCTGCTGGGCAATGGCTTGGAGTGTGGCCCCATCCCCTCAGACAGGTACCAGGAGCCCAGAGGTACCAAAGGAGTGGCCAAAGCAGGGCCAAAAAGCAGCTTCTCTACAAGGTAGAGAACCCTGCCTAAGATGTCCCACTGCCCTTCAACAGAAGAGTTTTCAGGGCTGTGGGTTTGGCCAAGGGAAGGTTGTGCTGTACCTGCTGGGCGCCTTCTACCCATCACCCTCCCTCTTTTCACGGTGTCCTTGCAACTCCCCAGCCTGCTGAGCGCTCCCATGGCTGCTAGCACTGGAGTCAGCACTCTCAGGGACATGCTGGGATTCTTGGGGTTGTCCTTTTGCAGAGCCAGGAGTTGGACTGGATGATCCTTGTGGGTCCCTTCCAACCCAGGATATCCTTTGACTGTGATTCCATGAACTGGAGCTCTCCAGGACGTGAGTTCTCCATCTAGTGCAATCCCAAAGAGAACAGAACTGACTTTCCACCCAAAGCTGTCGCTCCTCCCATGTCCCAGGGTTGTCCTCACCCTCCCAGCCTGACTCTGTGTTAACCCTGTGTTATGATCCAGTTATTAAAATTATTAGAAATGCCTCTGCCTGAATTAAGGTGCAAATGAGACCAGATGCCAAAGTCAGTAGTGTGGGGTTTTATTTAATGGCAAATGTGAGACAGAGAAAGAGAGATGGAAAGAAATAGGAAAAAGGAGGGGAGGGGAAGAAGAAAGGGAATGACAAGAGAGAGATTTAAATAGAAAATGCATCACCACTCCATGTAACCCGGTGGCATCCCGTGGCTCTGGTTCTTCTGGTCTTCTTGGTGGTGGTGATGATCCCAAAAACAGAGTCCTGGTGGGCAGGTGAAGCTTTGCAGTCTCCTGTGGCAGGCAGCTCCTCTGGTGGTGGGAGGCCTCAGGAATGAGTCTGGGGGGCACTTTGGGGGTTCTTTGATGGTTTATAACCCTACTCAGCTGCCTCTCAGGTGAATGCCCCGCGTGCACGTGGCCTTCCCGGAGCAGGGGGTTACTCCTTTGACCAAAACCAAAGTCTTCCTATGATTTTTGACAACGTTTAAGACGTTGCCAGCGCTTCAGTCCGTCACCCCCCTGTCCCTCTGTGTCCCCAGGTGCACGAGGAAGGAGCGGTGCGAGCGCTCCAGCGAGCCGCGGAGATTCGCCTCGGAGATGAAGCAGTGCGTCCGGCTCACCGTGCACCCCAACAACATCTCCGTGTCCCAGTACAACGTTCTGGTGAGGAATGCTCGGCCCTGCCCCACCTCCCCCTCGAGTTTTAAGCTGCCCACGCGGTGTGACAGCCAGGGAAGGACCGGTGGCTTGATGCGAGAGGTTCTCCAGAGTCCAGAAACTTCCTTTCTGGCACAGAGAAAGATTTGCCGTGGGAGGCCTTGGTTATCCCCTGTCTGGAAGCCTAGGAAGGGGCTAGAAATAGTCTTCCCTGTTTGCTGTGAGCAGCTGAGGGCAGCTCTGAAGGCATTCTGTGCCCTGCAGGTGTTGTGGGCAGCCGGTGTAGCCTTTCTGCTTCCCTGGGACAGGGATTTGTTTATGCCTTTAGGACAAGGAACGTCATCATGGTTGGAAATTGTATCCTTGAAGAAAGACAAATGAGGGGTACCATGAGTTCTTTCAATGAGCCCCAAGTTCCCGTCATCTTGGGTGGAAATATCTCCTTCAAAGACACCAAAACTTCCACCCTGCTGCAGCTCCAGCACAGTGTGGGCAGCAGAGCAGAGAGGCAGGATGATGTGCAGAGGAACCAAAGACTCCCAAGGATCATGGTGTCTCTTGTGACTGTCCACAGCACGAGGTTTCACCCTTATGGCCTTGAGTTACTTGGTCAGCACCCAACAAAGCCACACAGTGAGTGCTGGCAGAGCAGCAGATGATCCTGATCATTTCCTGGGCTTAAGGCAGGAAATCTCTGCTGAAGATCTGACCAGCCTGTGGTTTCTCTGCTGACTTGTGGCAGCAGTACCTTGTGTGGTGAGATCCCAACATGCTCCAAGAAGGAGGCAGAGACCCATTTCATTCAGCCTGCCAGAGCTCTGTGGTTTTGGCCATGCTAGTTTGGGCTGGAATTAAGTTGATAATCCAGGCCCTAAAAGCTCCATCTCTGTGTGAGTTTGTCATTAAACCCCACACCCTGAAAGGTCCAAATGGAATTGCTCAGGGAGCAGCTGCCAGACACCTTCCAGGTGGATGGTTTTGGAGTGCTGGGACTATTTCAGTGACAATGAAATCAGCCTTTCAAAGCCTGCATGTCCAAGCATTGCTGCTTTGTTTCAGCCTCTTAACTTTGCTGTGACTTTACTTTCCTAGGCTTCAAACAAAACTGATCTGAGACATCTTAACTTCTTTGTTCTTCTGGGAGTTCAAGGTCTCCTTTTCTTATTCTCTCAGTAGTTGTTGAATTCTTTCATGTTGGAATAAATCCTGGGGGACTGGCTGGCTCAGGGAGACTGGAAATGATAACAGAATAAAAGACCTTTACCTCTGGGTTACTCCCAGGGCGAGACAGCCCAGAGCTGCTGGGGTCAGAAGTTGCCAAAATCTATCTGTTTCCCAGAAAAGTGCATGAATATTTTGGTGGGAGTCACCAGGGAGATAAACTGGTGACTCAGCTCATCCGGTCACCACAGAGACTTTCTTGGCAAAGTTGGAGGGAACAGCAGCAAAAATGGCTGGTGGTATCCTTATGGAATCTCACTTGGCTTCTGGCAAAGTGATACTGAGGCAGAGAGTTGTGTGGTCAGCCAATCTTTTAAATTTTGGGCACCAACAGGGGCTTGGAAAATTTTAACTGAATCTGTTTCAGTGCAGTGCTGCTGCTCTGGGATTCATGAGAAGAGCTCCTTGCTGGGGCAAGGATCCATCCTTCCCTCACTGGAACAGCTCCAGAACAGGAGTGTGGGATGTAGGACTTCTTGTGTGTCCAGAGTGTGCTCTGGCTCGTGGCATTTGTGGCCAAGCACTTGTGGTCTGTCCACTGGTGTCACCTCCTGCATGGCACACCTTCATTCTGCATCATCCGTGCTCAGAAAGGAACTTGCTGAGCAGAACAGTTTTCCCTTCTCCATTGCCAGCAGGGTGTCAGTGAGCAGGGAGAATGGATTCAGCCTGTGTGCTAAATCCATCCAGATATCTGAAACTTCTTCCTACTCCCCACCCAAGACTAAAAGAAAAATCACCTTTCCCATTGCCCAAAAATGATCAGTGTCTATAAAACCAAGACAACCTACTCTCACAAAGGCCTAGTGTCAGCCAGGGCTAAGGCCTGTCTGCTCAACCTTTCTCCCTGGTGTTGCCTGGTGGGAAGAAACAGCTCCGACTTTTCCCTAAGTGAGGAAAACGCAGTGTGTGGGAGCAGTAAGAGTTCTGTTGTGTTCTCATCCTGCCCTGCTTTGTCACCTGGACTGACCTCTGTTCTTTGTGCTGGTAGAAACAACACTTCAGCATGCATCTGTGTCTCCTCTCAGTGGCTGTCACCTCAGATGGGGCCTCAGGTAGCTCGTGGAGGAGGCTGGTGTGGAGAGCATCTGTGTCTAGTGGTTGGCTCTAGTGTTTGGTCACAAAAACGCTAAATTTATACTAATTAATGGGTCATCAGTGGGTGCTAAAGTCCCCTGGGATGGTTCTCAGTGTTCAGGCACGATCTGGTGAGTAGAGCAGGACCCTCAGTGCTGGAGGGCTGTGGTGCAGGACGGTGGCTGGTCTGGGAAGTCGGCACCACGGCGGTGCTTCTCCAAAGCGTGGACATGGTGGAAAACAGCCACGAGATTCCTTCTCCCACGACCACGAGCAATGACACAGCAATGCCAGAGGCTCTGAACTCCGAAAACACGGTCAATCCCTCCTTCAAGGCTTTTATACGTCTGGCAGGTCCCCTAGAGCCAACTGCTCCTTTGGTGGGATGGGCAGGAGAGGTTTGCTGTGCCTCTAGAGACAGTGGTGCTTTTGTGGTGGACTGAAGGCTGTAACTAGACTCTCCTCACACAGGAACTTGGTGACAGAGTGCTCCCCACCTGCTGATGCTGGGAGAGCAGCCCGTAGAGAGTTAGACTGGAGCGCTCCAGTTTCTCTGGAGTCTGCAGAGAGCCTCTTGTGAGTAGCAGTTCACCTTCCTCAGAAACCGCGGGCCCTGGGGCCACCACCGCCCGGGGCTTCACTGCTGGCTCCAAAGACTCCCTGCCTAACCTGACACTTGCATGACAGATAGTGAGCACTCCCCCACCCCTCCACTGACCCAGCCAGCACTGGGATGCAGTGCAGGTGTCCCTGCACAGCCACAAACCACTTGTGTCGGCATCAGCATCGGCATCTCATCCCCTTCCCTTCCACTGAATCCCCTCTCCTGAATCGCTGCTTTCTGTTGAAGGAGGATGCTCTCTCTAGCAAGAGGCTCTTTGTCTGACCTCTCCAGTGTAATTCTCTCCTGCTGACCCAGCTCTGTTTTTTGGCTTAGTGTTGTCTCCTTCTTCTTTTTTTTTTTCTCTGTCTTTTCTCCTCTTGCTCCATCTTTGCTTGCAGCTGGTCTTGGAGACCTACAACGTCCCCGAGCTGTCAGCAGGAGTCAACTGCACCTTCGAGGACCTTTCAGAGATGGATGGCCTGGTGGTGGGCAGTCAGATCCAGTGCATCTCACCAGCTGCCAAAGAGGTGCCCCAGATCATCACAGAGAACGGTGAGTGTCCCACAGCTCCCCTGCCTGCACCATTCCTCCCTCCCTGAGTGTTTTAAGCTCCTCACCCCACATCCCCTGTGTCTCTCCTGCTTTCTCCCAAAGCAGGATTTGGCTCGTGGCAGCCTGAGGGCAGGGTATGGAAAGCACTGGGCTTGGTGGGAAGCTGGTGGAGCTGCCCAGCAGCACACTGTGGCATGAGCTGTGTGAATTTGCCTGTGTTTCTGTGTGCACAAGTGTTGAGCTGCGACACCAGCACCTGCCCTAAGGTGCCTGTGTGTGTGACACGAGGTGTTTTCAGACTGCCACCGAGTGGCAGTTACATATATTTAGCCAAGACAAGACATGGAGGTGGGATGTTCCCTCACCTTTTGCCCATGCTGGTGTTACACAACCTGGGGAACGAGGCTGTACATGCTCTCAGCACATCCCAACCCGTGTAGCTGCCAGAAAGTCCTGCACACCTGAGTGATCCCGTCTGTAAATTCATCCTGCTCCTCCCAGATGTAGTTCTCTGTGCTCAGTTCCCTACTCCTGGCCTTTACTGCCTCCAGCTGTTCCAGACTTGCTGCTGGCTCCCTCTCTTAAAGTGGTTCAGCACAGAAAAACACCTTGTCTCCAAGGATACTTCCCCCATCCACAACTTCCTGCCCTTTTTTTGTTCCCGTTTTTTACAAGAACACTTGTGGCTCTTTGCTATAAAAACCTCGGCCCTGCTGATCACCCAGAGGATGCTGTCATTCTTGTCCTCGGCTTCTTGTGAAAACTTACTGTAAGTTTACCTCTGAGGATCCTCAAACCCGCAGAAAATGAAGTGACATGAGCTGTCAGTGTTCCCTGAGCGTCACACAGCCGCATGTGCTCTCCTTTTGGTCCCAAAACAAGCCCCCAGAAGGCTGTTACCGCTTTCAGGTCCTGCTGAGTTATCAGTCGTGTTTATAGATGCCAGAAACTATTTCCTTGGCAGGGACATCTGTCCCAGGCCGGGCTACAATCAACCAGCAAATAAAAATAGCAGTGGAAGCTGGAGGCAGGACAAGAGAGATTTATGTGTGGTGTGGTTTCAGAGAAGCAGCTTGGAGCAACTTCAGCAGCTGGTGCTCCACACCTTGCACAGAGCAAGTGCTCCATGCACAGAGCCAGGGGCTGGATTGGAACCAAGGGATGTGTGGCTCTGTCACATGTCTGATCCCTGGGGCCATCCAATCCTTGCATCCTGCTTTAAAATGCGTGGAAGGTGCTGCGAAGTTGTTAAAGAAGGTGTGGTGATGGCAGAGCTGTGGGAGCTGGTGGCACCAGGTGGGCAGCAGAGCCCAGCACTGGCAGGAAAATGTGTTTAGTGAAGTGTGTGGTCTGTGCAGTGTCTGTGTGTGTGTCTATGAGTCTGTGTGTGCCTGAAGGAGGGTGGGTGCACAGGTGGCTGCACCTTGTGATGGACTGTCCGGTTTGCTTTGTCCTGATTCATTCGTGAATCTTTAGGTGAGGAGGAAAATAGTGGAATCATAGAATTATACAGTGGTTTGGGCTGGAAGGGAGCTGAAAGATCACCCAGTTCCAACCCCCTGCCATAGGCAGGGACACCTTCCACTATCCCAGGTTGCTCCAAGCCCTGTCCAACCTGGCCTTGGACACTTCCAGGGACAGTGGAAGCAGCAACAGCTTCTCTGGGCAACCTGTGCCAGGGCCTCCCCACCCTCACAGGGAAGAATTTCTTACTAATATCTAATCTAAACCTGCTCTCCTTCAGTTTGAGGCCATTCCCTTTTGTCCTATTACTACATCCCCTTGTGTAAATAGCATAGAAAGGGCCACCCAAATAAGTCTCAAATTAACTGTGGGTCAGTTTTCATGAAATTACTGCAATTACTGCACCCACTCCTTACCCACAACGATGGGCTCTAAGTAGTGGTTTTGGTGTTATGGGAACAGGTAGCAAGTGACTGCCCAGTTTGGGAGCAGTGGGAATGTGGAAATGGGGTTTAGGAGCTGAGGTTCCCATGGGTCCATGCCATGGAAATGGATAGATCCTTCTGGAAATGCAGTGGATTGCACGTCCCTCACACTGAGGTGGGTTCTTGGCAGCCAAAGGCTGAGGGGAATGGACCTTGAGGTTAATGGGAGGGGTGAGTGAACGTGGGAGAAATGTCCACAGGCCCTTTCCTTCTGGGGACATCAAATGAACCAGCAGCAAGGCAGAATTTTAAGGAGAATAGTCTGTTTTAACAGCCTCTGAATTCCAGGCACCTGCACTCATTCTTTGGGCTTAGCTTTCCTATTTGATGGCTTCAGTCACCATATTTTTGAGATTAGTGAGTTATGATCTAGACCTGCTGTCATCATCTAGCTCAGACTCTGCTCCCAGGTACACTCATTTCCAGTGGTGAACACGCACTCCATCACCTCAACACCAACAGAGAGGTCACTCTGTTGCAGAACTGGGCTTTGGAAGGATTTTATTGCACTTTCCACATCTATTGAGGACAGACCAGCTAAGGTGTTGTGGGACCAGCTCCAGGTTCAGGCTGGTGGCACGGCCAGCAGTGCTTAACTAGGCTGACAAAGCAGTCCCACACTGATGTGTCTGTTCTTCCCCCCAGGAGACCACCACATCGTGCAGCTTCAGCTCAAGTCCAAGGAAACGGGTATGACCTTTGCCAGCACCAGCTTCGTCTTCTACAACTGCAGCGTCCACAACTCGTATGTGCCTTTCCTTTGATCCCTGCTTCCCTTCCACCCCTGGATCTGCCACAGAACCCCCTGATGATGGGCATGTGTCCCTCAGGCAGCTGGTTAGGTGGGGAGGTGACATGGGGTCGGGGTCACCTGTGGGGTAGTCAGGATGATAGGGTCTTTCCCAAGATTATGGGGATGATTTGTGCTGCAGGCAGAGCGTCACATTAGGGGCAGTTTGGCACAGGATTGAGTCAGGACTGGGTCATGACCTCAGCACGTGGCCCCCTCGTCTTCCTGTTAAGCAGGTGTTTGTGGATGGCTGGATCCTGCCCGTAATATGCACCTCCAACCCTCACCCGTCCTGCCAGTCCCACCAGCCTGCCCCAGGTGGTTAATATGGGACTGGACTTTCCAGCTGGTTAATATGGGATTGGTCTTTCCAGTCTGGAAAGTTGGTTCCTGCCTGATGTGAACTGAGCAGGGAACACCTGGCTGGTTCCCTGAAAACCATCTTTTCTGTGCTGTGAGCCCCTTTCCTGCCTCACCCCCTATTTTTCTGGGGTTTAGCTGCCACCCAGGGCTGCTCAAGAGCTGCCCCACCAGAGCAGACCTGCAGCTCCCCCACGGAAAGCTGCTCTTCCAGGGGGATGATCCAGCCCTGAGCAAGGCTGGGCAGCTCTGTCCCCACCACTGAGCCTGTCCTGAAGTGCCAAAAGCACGTAATTACTGCGGCTCAGCAATTCACAAGGAAAGGCAATTCCTATTTCCGTGTTCCTGCTGCTTTGACAAACAGCGTCAGAAAGCAAGTGTTGGTGGGGAGAGCAGGAGAGATGGTGGTGTTAAATATTTATGGCATGTTTTGGTTCCTTTACTTGACAAACTATACTACACTATCCATTTTTAATTCGATGTATCAGAGCAAGCACTTGTTACCAGTTTGAAGAATAAGTTGCTGTACCAGAGCTGAGGGTGGATTGGAGCTGAGCAGGATTTCCCAGAGACAGGGGGGAGGGTGTGTGGATGCCTCTTGGGCTCAGACAAGCTCTGCTGGAGGCAATTTTTTCCCTCCTGCCCATTAAAACCCCAGTAAGAGCCAGGAAAATTTTCCCCCTTCAAGGTCCTTTCTGGTACTTCAGAGGCTGCAGCTTTATAGGATCATAAAGTCATTAAGGTTGGAAAAGACCTCTAAGATCTCCAAGTCCAACCATCAACCAGCACCACCACCACGTTCACCATCAAACCATGTCTTCAAGTGCCACATCCACAGGTTCTTTGAACACTTCCAAGGATGGGGACTCCACTACTTCCCTGAGCAGCTCATGCCAGGGCTTTACAACCCTTTAAATGAAAAATAATTTCCTAATACATTATAAACCTCCCCCTGGCACAGCTTGAGGCCGTTCCCTCTCCTCCTGTCCCTGTTCCCTGGGAGCAGAGCCCGATCCCCCTGAGCTCCCCCCTCCTGGCAGGGACTTGCAGAGCCAGAAGGTCCCCCCTGAGCCTCCTTTTCTCCAGGATGAGCCCCCCCAACTCCCTCAGGAGTTCTCCAGCCCCTTCCCAACTCCCTTCCCTTCCCTGCACACACTCCAGCCCCTCAATGTCTTGGGCATGAAGGTCTCCAGAGTGTGGGTGACCAGGGTTGTTCAGAGAGTTTGTTATGGCTCCTTTTGGTTGCTGGTGAGCAGACATATATTAAATTTAAAAAGAGGTGTGATGTAGGTGTAAGTCAGTGCTGTGACACAGCCAGGAGAGGTGTTTGCAGCTCTTACTCTGCAGAGCCCCCGGGGACAGGAGAGCAAAACCTTGTAAGGTGGAGAGAATGGCTCTTTCCTACATCCCAAGTAGGTGATGTCCTAAATATGCCCTCTGCTTCCCAGGTAGCTGCTCCAGTAGTCTTCATTTCTCTGCTGAGGTCAAGGATGGAAGAATACAGTTAATGTATTTGTAGGAGCCTCCTCCTCACCCTGGTCAGAACTCACGCTGATAAACCTGTGGCACACAGGGGGAGAAAATTCCCTGCTTCATCCTTGACTTTTTGATTTTGGTGCATCCCACTTGGTTTCTGGCCTCTGTGTGGGAGGATTAACCCCATGGGACTGCTGGTGCCCTGGGTTTGCCTTCCATGGGCATCACTCCTCCCACCAGTCCCTCAATTTGGCCACTTTCTCCTCATGTTCTCACAGCTCCCAGGGCACTGGTGCAGCTCAGTGTGGAGGCAGAAAGGCTGCAGTATTTCCCACCCATCCCCTGATCTGGCATTTTTTGTTACACTCAGGATTTGGGCAAAAAATGGGGGTGCCTCTTGTGTGTGAAGCCAAGGACTTGCTGGTAGTCTGAATGAAAGTTGTAACGGGGCAATCAAAATGCAAGAAATATTTATTGTTCCCCCAGCTGCAACGACACGAATGCAACCTAAATTAACTAATAAATATGAGATTCTTGTGATCCCAGTGACAACCAGCTCAGGCCGTGGCAAGCCCAGCACCATCCTGCAACCTGATGGTGTTGTGTCAAAAAAAACCCAAACAAACCAAACATGTTTGCCAGGCTGTGTTTCCCTCTGAGGAAGGCTCTCAGCCTCCAGGCCTGTCCTGTTGGCTGATGGGACCCTGCTGGCCAGGTGACTGGTGTTTCTCTTCTGTTCCCAGGTGTCTGTCGTGTGTGGAGAGCCCCTACAGGTGTCACTGGTGCAAGTACCGCCACGTGTGCACCCACGACCCCAGCTCCTGCTCCTTCCAGGAGGGACGAGTCAAGATGCCTGAGGTAGGCAGGGGCACAGCATGTGTGCCAGGGGTTGGTGTCACCTGCCAAACTAACAGCCCAGGAAGCCTTCTCCACCCCCAGTCCCACCCTCACCCTCCAGGAGACCCTCACCTCCCCTCTCCTCTCTGCTCTGCCAGACCCTCAGGGAGCTTCTCCCTGCCTTTCACACACTCCAGGGAGTGTGTTACCTTGGAAAATCATGACAAACTCTGGCACCAAGGGGCTGGGAGGGATGGGAAACACTGGTATTTACATCTCCAGGAGAGATGGAGATACTCTGCTCCTCTAAGCAGCAACCCCAGGCTGTTGGGATCTGGGAAGGGTTTAGGGCTTTGTCCATGGTGCCAGAAGATTTCAGCCACGCTTTAAACACCTTTGTGGCTTCATGGATTTGAAGCCTAATGGCCAGTGCCTCAAACTGCCTCCAGATGAGGCCAGGAGATGCCTCATTGCCAGTCACTGAGCTGAACTGGACCTTGGGGCTTAACACAGAGCTGCAAATGCTGCCTGGCAGGTTCTGTGACTAACGAGCACTCGAAGACGAGTGGAGCTGGGGAGAATACAAATAGGAAGCTACTTAATTACTTCCTGGCCAGGAATGGTCTGAAAGCATCCTGGGCTGTCTGCTAAATGACCTGAGAGGGCTGGTTGTTCGCCTGGCCCGAGGGACCAGTACCCATTAAGAGATCTGATACCTGCTGAGCCACCAGGGCACAAGTGGCTGCTGAAGACTCTGGCAACGTGTGCTGCATTCAGAGGGTGAAACCCTCGCTGTTCCCTGTGCTTTTTGCTTGTTCTGGTGTCTCCAATGTGGTCCCCCACCTACATCCAACCTCTACCCCAGCCCAGCTGGACCAGAAGACCCACATGTAGTATCTTCACACTCCCCTGGCATCCCCGGTCCCTCCCACCCCTTCCACATGTGCTGCTTGAGATACCACATATGTGCTTGTTGAGGTGTCCTGCATCAGAACTTCTGACCTGCTGTGCCACTGGGACAACCATAAATATCCATCTCCATCTACCAGGATGTAGAATTTCCTGTGAACTTGCTGGAAAACACGCTGAGGAGGTGGAGGGCTTGGCACCCTCTTGACTGGGTGGTGAAGGGGTGAAGGAAGGCAGCTCAAAGTTCAGCCCTTCTGGCAGGTTATCCCAGCCAGAGAGGGGCTGTTCCCTCACATGGAGCCTTGGCACAGTTTGTCCAGTCCTGCTGCCCACAGGTTTCTGTGCCTTCCACTTCAGGGGCTGGAAGGGTCTCTCGCTGAGTGGAATCCCCTGGCACACTTTGTCTCAGCTTCCCACTGAAATGCTGCTGCAAAACCACCACCACCACCACCACTGATCTGCTCTGACTCCTCTGGGGTGTCCCACGTACCAAGGGCAGGACTCACCTTCCCAGTTCCCACCTCTTCTCTCCTCCAGCCCCCTGTCCAAAAAGAAATACCTACAAACCTCAGTGGATGTGCTGCTCCCTCAACCCCTGTGGCACCCCTGGTGTTCAGGACGCTGCTCTCATCAGAAAGGATGACACTGCTCTCATCTTTATCCCCTCCAAGGCCTTGCTCTGCAGAACTGGGGAGGAAGGCAATGGACTCATCAGACTCTGCAGATCTGCCTGTTTTAGCTTTATCACCTCTCTATCAGTTTGGTTTCTGACAGGTGTCCTCTTCAGATCAGGAGACAGCTCCAGCCTGGGGGGCTTTGTCTGCCAGCAGGGTTTGCTCTTTCTCTCTTCCATCCCCTTAAACAGAGAATTTCCTGCTAAGCTTCATAAACTCCCTCTCTGATCTTGCAAAGCTGCTCTGTGGGATTTGCATGGCAGCAGGGAGAGGCACAAACCCGACCTTGGAAGACAACTATTGATCTCCAAGGCAATGACAGCATCACGTGGGACATGGATGTTACCAATGAGGTCATTCCCAACGAGGGCTGCAGCAAAACCATCTCTGAGCACAAATGGGACCTCTTTCCCCTGGGATACAACCCCTGGGATACAACATTTGGCACTCAGCTGCTCATCTCAGGAGCTGGTTTTCCTGGTCTGCTGGACAGAGGAAACACTTCCCAGCACTGGAACTACAAAATCTGGAAGGACAATGGCCTTCCAAAACCCCAAAACTTTCCGAGCTTTCTTTCTGCCTGGCAACATGAGAAATGCCCTGTAACTTCAGAGTCCTTCTCATTCCCATTTTGTGTGTTTGTGGCTGTCAAGGACACTTGGGCTGGGAAAGGATGGCATCACAAGTGCATTCTGACAAAGAGATTTACAATCCCTCTGCGGCCAGGAAGGTTTTTGTCAAATGGCACTTTGAGCGAACGCTGCGTCGCGTCTCCCACGCTTCTCTTGAAAAACCATCTTCCCACTGACTCATCCCTCTCACTGCAACTTCCACTGCCTATTTTCCACTTTCACCTGCAATTCTATCATTTTCTGACCTGCACACTTGCCTGCTTGTTGAGTGGGTTCTTTGGGCAATAGAAACCATTGTGTGCACCCTGAAGCCACGCCTGGCTCCTCATTGCCCATCCAGACCTTCACCCAGCTCCTGGTGACTCACGAGGCTGGCAGGACTGAGGTCCATTTGCAGACTTCCCAATGCCACTTTCAGCAGTGCTTGGAATGCACCAACATGATGAGTGGCTCTGTTCTTACTGGCCTCTCATCTCCATGCTTCTTTCAAGCCTTTCCTCTGGAAGCATTTAGATCCCTGGAGGATGAGGAGAGGGGAGTGTTTCCTACCATCCAGACCTGCTAAATCTGTGAGTCTGGAGGAAGGACTGATGGGAAGCTGTACCACCAGTGTGGGGTGGTTGGACCACCCCATTTGCAGTTTTCCATGGGTTTGCTGAGCAGATTAGCTTGGGCATCTTCCAGGATCTTGCACCAAGAGACTCCTTGCCAAGCAGACAAATATTGGTGTTACTCTGTCATGTGGACCCGTGCCAGGAACTCCTTCCCTCTGTAGTCATCACTGCTGGCCTGACAAACCTTCTGCCCTCACTATGGCCTTCATCTTCTCCTGTAACTCCCACCCTCAGGTAATTTCTGTTCTCTGTTTGCCTGTACAACATCTTGCCATCATGTGGGAAGAGGCTTCCCACTCTCCAGATGGCCTGGGCTGCAAATGGACTCGTTAGGCTGGCACCCATCCCCCCTGGACCAGCCTGGAGTGCTTTGAAGGGAGGTTTGTGCCCTTGTGCACTTTCTGACTCCATCATTTCCTTAGGACACCTCACAACTTTCTGGATTCCCACGGGCTCAGCCTTTCACTCAGGTCTTCTTAATGTTCTCTGAGAGGAACTGGGGTTTTTACTTTCATTGTAGTGTGAGTTGCTGATTAATCTAGAATACTGGACGAATTCAAGGCTGATCCAGTGGGACAGCAGAAACGCTTTGGTCCATGACCCACATTGTCCAGAAGGCAAAATGCTGTTTGTGTCTGTGCAGCCTGTGATCTGCCACCCAAGGGGAGCCTTTGGATTGCATCATGGATAGCTGGGATCAGCCAGCCCCTCCTGGCAGAACAACCAGAGGCGGAGAAAGGACAGAAAAGGCACATCCCTCACCATCAACATGGAGATATGACTTTCCTGTCATTTATCAGGTGGATCAGTTCTGCCTGGGACAGATCTGGATCAGCTAAGTCTGGGAGCCTTGGGAAAGCCCATGTTTGCTCCAGTGAAGAACTCCCAACGTGGTCATAAAGCAAGAGTATTTATGATTATGGCACTGATCTTAATCACACGGGGTTGACAAAGTCTCTGCATGATTTGTGGCAGAAATGCTTCACCTTGGCGTGTAATTTCCCTTTCCAGCAGGTTTCCACAAACCAGGCCCACTGGCTTGAAATACACTGAGTGACTTCTTGCTTTATAAAGGGGAGCTGATCTTATCATTACTGAGGGCAGGAAGGGAAAGCACGAGGAAAAAAATGGCATTTTAATACTGAAGTGGATTGTTGTCGTTGCTGTTGTTGTTGTTTTTCCCAAAGAGCTGAAGGCAAAAGTGGAGAGAATTAGTCTCAGATATAAAAGGGAGTGGGGTGAGTTTCTGTTTTTTTTCTTGGCCATCCTGTCCCTGCTTTTGACATTTGTTGCTGACCATAAATAAAGTGGCAGTGCAGGCTTAGAGTCTGAGCACAAACCAGATTAACACACTGTGAAATCAACCCTGACCTGCCTGACACAATCACCAAGTAAGAGAGCTCAGTTATTTTCTTCTGTAAATGGGCATGACAGTCAACAAATTTTGGGGGAAACTGAGGCAAGGAGGCGGAAAACAATCAATCTGAGGGTCTCCAGCTGATGAAACAGCTCCTGCCTCTTCTCATTTGCTTTGTCCATCTCATCTTTGTACAGATCTGTTCTGATTCAGGGGGGTAGTTTTCACTTCATCAGTGTTTCTGTCCAAGGATGGGATGCTGGGGTATCCTACTTGAGTTGATGGGATAAAGAATTTAATCTTTTTGTTGTGCCTTTTTCTCTAAGATGAACAATATCTTGTTCCAGGCCTTGCAAGGATTTTAGCTTTGTGTAGGGGAAAAAGAAGAGGAAAAAATGGCAAAAGCCAAAAGCAAGCCTAGATAACAAATCTATTATTCACTGGCTTTAACAGATACATAATCATTTAATTACCTTGAAGGAGGTTTTCATCTCTCCCTTCTCAGCCGATCTGTGTGTGCATGTGTTTTCCTTCCTCCCCCAAAACAGGCTTTTTTATTAAAAGGATTTTCATCTGCCGCCTAAAAAGGGAACAGAAGAAAAGATCTCGCACCAGAGTGTTTTATGTCGACTTGTACGTGCTAATGACAGCAAAGCCCACATAAAAGAAACAACTGCTTCAAATATTCATTTGTCAGAAGAGATAGAAAGCCTTGTGAGCTGCATCCTGGAAGCAGCTGCTGAGGAGCAGAGCATGCTTTGCCCAGTGTTTGCTCGTGCCTTGAGCTGAACTAAAAGCTCCACCAGTGGCCTCTGCAGTGAAAAAGGAAGGGGAA